GTTAGTTGTTATAGTAATACTCGGCTTTTCTTCCAATCATTCTCTCCCTTTGCCATCTTACTTGAACCTCTATGATGAATTCTGCTATATCCCTTAAGTGGTTGGATTCCCTTAATCGGTGACCACACACCCTGCTCACGATTCTTTTCTCGCGACCTCCACACTGCCACTTATCGCTCCCTCTATGATGTGACTTTCTGTATACTCTCAGCTTTAGTGATACTGTTCTACCAACAAAAAAGGCATTTTAAACGTTTTTCTCAGCTCTGATTCCGTTAATTTTCGGAAAAGGGCAGAAAGTGCCACTAACTACTGCTGCCACTCTCCATGAGTGGGAATAGCCATCCTAAAATCTTACGGCAAGGTTTTACTACATGATCTTATGAGATCTTGAAAAATCTTGACAGAGACACTGCAAATCATACGTATTCTTTTTCGTGAGATTATGCGGGACCTTACAAGTTCATACGATTTTTTGTTACAAAATCTTGTAAAGTTTTGTAAGAAGTAATGAGTCACCTTTAGAATATGAATTTTGCTACGCCATACTATTATTATATTGTATACAATATACGCATAAAATCGTTCTCATGAATCAACTTTGAAAATCGTTTTATTCAGGTCTTGTCGAATTTTACGATACCTTGAAATAAGAATCTGATCTTACAAGATCTTATTTGAAAATTCATCGACCTGAAAAGTTACACTGATCATAAAAGCTTTCTGAGTACGCCGCTAGCATAGAGTTTGTACTAGTTTATGTTACATGTTTCGATTTAGAATTGAGAACCGATGAACGCCGTTCAGAAATATTTAGCATTATACTAAATTTTACATTCGTATTTTCGGTATAGCGTTCAAGGATGCGTCGAACTTCTACAAAGCAACTAGAAGTGAGTGCGACGGCTCTAAATAGTGGACAGAAGACTCCCATAATAACTGAAAAATCTGAGTTTCTTTCCAGTAGAAATCTCTTAATGTTTTAGGCTTTAACTTTACAAAAGACGATTCATTTTTCGAAAATACTACGTCGGACAGCAAATTTGTTGTTTGTATCTCAATCCTAGTTCAAGGCTCTAATTGAGTACAGGATTTGATAACGCGCATCACGCAAAATATTTTGGTCTCTAAAACTTAGTTTAGTTATTTATGCATTGTGTGATATCTTATCGTTGACTCTCCGGTTCAAGCAATAAAACACTCAGAAACACGTTTTGGTAAACAGACGTCAATGAGCAAGAAAAAGATGAAACAAAATAAGATTTGTTTTTATTTATTGTTATGTTACAAAAACAGAATGACGTCAAGAAATTAAATTGTCTCCATCTAGAAAATATTACGCTATAAGGAAAGAGAAAGAAGTTGAAATAGTTCCTCTTAAGTTTATAATAAAGTGTTTCTTTTAGATGCTTGAATTTTTAAAAGATTGGTCTTTGCTGATTTCAATTTCTTCTTTTAAATCTGTGTAACGGAAGAAGCAGATGGTCGATATACCAAAACTAGAAAACGATGCACGACAACATGCTTCTAAAGCTGTTGAATTAGATCGTGTCGGAAATATTGAAGAAGCAATATTTTATTATGTTGAAGCAGCTCAATCATTAATAAGTGTTCGTGAAATTCAACAACAATCAAATTCACAAATTAAATCATCCTTACCCAATTTAAATAAACTAATTGAAGATTATATTAAACGTGCTGAACAGTTGAAAGCTGATGTACGCCAGAACCCAATAAAAAGTCTTCATTTAAAAGATAAATCGGAGAAGAATGTTGAACGTGCAAGATATCTGTTAACACAGGGACTTGATAAAGATGAAAGTGGAGAAATCGATGTAGCATTTAAATTGTGTAAGAAAATTATAATTTATATTAAAATTCTACAATAATATTGTATTGTCTTTTTGTTAGATGAAGAAGCTGTTACACTATGTTTAAACGAAAAGAAAACATGTGATAATATACCATTGAAAGATCAATTGGATAAGATTGCACGATCGGCATTGGAACGAGCTGAAGAAATAAAAAAAAAATTAAAACTTGATTTAAAAACATTAAGATTACCTTCACCACCGAGAGATAAAATCATCGATGATGAACAACAACAACCGTTGGATATTGATCAACAAAATATTAATATTGTTGACAAACGAGCAAAATTATCAGCGCATGAATTAGTTGTATTACGACGTGGTTCAAAAATAAATGGACGAGATTATGTACCATTTTTTGCTATTGATTTGAAGGAACGTTTTGCTTTTCAAACTCCATTTCAAGACACTGCTGGCTATCTAAAATTAGGTATAGTTATCGTATTATGAAAAAAATAAATAATCAATCATATTCATGATCTCATTTTATACAACTTTTTTTCTTTTAAGCACCAAAACAGCAAACACATTTTACTCGTTGGGCAAGACCGGATGAAATCATGGCAGAACCAAAAATGGTATGCTGATTTTTTATACTGTTCACAGTTCTTTTCTTTTCATATAGTCAAAATGACCACGTGAGAAGGGTAAAAGTAAAGCTTTAAAGTATAAAAATCAGATTGCCTGTATAAAGAAAGGATTATTACAAAGTTTTTGGTTAACCTCTAATGCAATTTATGCGAAAAGTAATTACAAGTGACACCATTATGATGGTGTCACTTGTAATTATTCCAAAATTAACATCTTCAGAGGTTAATCAAAACTTTATAACCCTTTTTTTATATAGACAATCTGATTTTTATAGTTTAAAGCTTTACCTTTACTCTTTCCACGAGGTCATTTTGGCCATATGTTTATAAATTCAATTTTCTTCTAGGTTATGGCATTATCTTATTTCAGTATTAAACAAGATTTGATTTCTGATTGTTCATTTGTAGCAAGTTTAGCTGTCAGTGTACAATATGAAAAAAAATTCAATAAACACCTGGTGACTAGTATCATTTATCCGCAAAATAACAAAGGTATAGCCTTTCGTATCAACTGTGACGTAGAGCGTTTGTGCCATAAGGTGTACCGTATCCATTACTTTATCTGTCTTTAAGTAATGTTAGTTAATACAGAATTTCTTTTGACTATGTTAGTTTAAACAAGGAATACATGTTTACCATTAGATACATCTCTGAAAAAAAGGAAATATAACCAGATCGGTTTCATCGTTTTAGGAGAACCAGTCTACAATCCGTGTGGAAAATATATGGTGCGCTTCCATTTAAATGGTATGACTCAACTTGACTTTACTCATTTAATGAAGAAATCACATTAAATTTATTGGCTCTTTTAGGTGTTTGGCGTAAAGTTATAATTGATGATTATCTTCCTGTCGATCGACATAATCGGTATGACAATATTAACTTGTATGTTGACATTTTTTATAAGAACTTTGTATTTTATTACAGTTTATTATGTTCGGCAACCACTAATAAAAATGAAATCTGGGTCAGTTTATTAGAAAAAGGTAGACTTACGGAGACGTAACGACATAAATTTAATATTTTTGTACTTTATCAGCTTATATGAAAGTGATGGGTGGCTATGACTTTCCCGGCTCCAATTCGACCGTTGATCTTCATGCTTTGACAGGTAAACTACTGAATAATAAATTGTTTACAATACTGTATTCAAATTGGTTTTCTTTAGGATGGATACCAGAATTGCTAACATTACATCACTCGGATACACCATTTGATAAAGATAAAGAATTTGATCGAATGTTTGAACGATTTCATCTTGGCCATGTTTTAATTACAGTAGCCACTCCTACTTTGTCGACAGAAGACGAAGAGCGTAGCGGTTTAGTTAGTAGTCACGCTTATGCATTACTGGATATGAGAAAGATAAGTGGTCACAAATTAATAATGTTAAAAAATCCATGGTCACATTTGGAATGGAAGGGAAATTTTAGTGATCACGATTCAACTAATTGGACACCAGAACTCGTGAAAGCACTCAATTATGATCCAAAACTACAAGTCGATATTGACAATGGTGTGTTCTGGATTGATTATAATTCACTGTGTAAGTGCTATAGCAAATTCGTCTATCCAAATAAATGGATTATTTTGCAAGATATATTTTTTTTAAATAGGTCATCATTTTGAGAATTTTTATCTTAATTGGAATCCATCGTTATTTGATTATACAACTGTTATACATAATACGTGGTCAGCTAGACAAGGTCCTGTAAAAGATCTGTATAATTTAGGCGATAATCCTCAGTATTGTCTTCGAATTAATTGCAAAAAGAAAGCATCAGTATGGGTATGAACTATTAAAGATTTCTTATTATTGCTAAAATTCGAACCTTCTTTTATCTGTTTAATTCTTTTTTTTCAGGTATTATTAACACGTCATATAACAGAACGTCAAGATTTCGCTGTAAATAGAGTGTTCATAACACTGTTTGTATATAAAAATGGTGGCCATCGACAATAGTGAGTTGCTGTTATAAATAATATACAGTGGCTCGAAAAATTATTCGTCTGTTTTTATTTGAATGCCATAATACCTCGTCAATCATATAATACTCAGAATAAATTTGAAAAAAGACGTAAATAATTTAATGTAATGTTAAATAAAGATTCCTTCGAAATTTCTGAAACCAAGCTCGCTCCATAAAAACTGAAAAATTCTTCCCTAAATTTGATCGAGAAATGTTTTACAAATAACTTCATACTAAAGAACAAATATTTCTAAACAAAATGAGAGGTCTTCAAGCTCTCTATGACATTTTTTTCATTCAGAAACAGCATTCAATTTATGAAAGGTTTTGAGGGCATATCATTCGTGTTTTCCCGTTAATTTTGCTGATTCTGGTGATATGGAACCTTTCGTAAATTGAATACTGTTTCATGAAAAAAATGCCATGGGGAGCTCGAAGACGTCTCATTTTGTTCAGAAATGTTTGCTCTATAACATGGAGTTATTTATAAAAAATTTCTCGATCGAATTTGGGCGAGCATTTTTTTGAGATTTTGGTTTTCTACAGACCTTGGTTTCAGAAATTTCGATGAAATCTTTATATACGTCACATCAGATTGAAAATTCTTTTAGCTGTTCACATCTTTTTTCCAAATTTATTCTAGGTATTATGGTTGAAGAGAAAAATTAAAAATAAAGACGAATAAATAATTTTTCGAGCCACTATATATGGAGTTTTTCTATATTAAACATAATGTTTTCTTTTCAATAGTTATCCTAATGATCCTAAACCACTACAAGAAGGTACGCTTTTGTTCTGATGTTTTTTTTTAGAGTTTTTCTACGAAAGTTTGACAATTTTTGTGTCATTCTTTCTAGGTGTCAAAACAAATTCTGCTCATTATCTTGTTAAATTGACTTCAGATGGTACAGATGGTGTTGGACAATCATTTTATACACTAGTGGTATCACAATATGAAAAAAAATGTTGATATTTATTATTCGCTACGTGTTTATTCAACATGTGAAATCAGTTTAAATGAAATACAAGACTATTATAATGCAAAATATCAACAAGAAATAACAGGAAAATGGGAGGGAATTAGTGCCGGTGGTTGTCAGAATAATACAGCAACGTATAAAAACAACCCATTATATCAATTAGTGTTAAATAACTCTGAAGCAAATAATTATCTAAAAATTGAACTAAGAGCTCCTAAACAATATCAAGTTGGTTTTGAAATATTGTGTAAAGAAACAAAAGTATCAAACGCCGCTGGACAATTTCAAAATGCTGATTCTGGTAGTTATCGACCTGGATTTTGTTTATTAACATTAGATAATATTCCAGGCGGAACATATACAATCAGACCCGCCACTTTTGATAGTGGAAAGGAAGGTCCATTCTTTCTTAACATAGCATCATCGCATCATTATACACTGACTAGGATCCAATAGAAAACTGATAAAGAAAACAAACAAATGTAATACACTTAAAAATGTTTTTCTCTCTTTTTTTCTCTCTTTTTTTTCTCTCTTAGTTGTCAGTTCATTGTATCTTTTGTCATGACATACTTTATCCTATCTCACGAGGTTGAAATCACACTAGATTCACATGATGTTGTTTTCATTAAACGTGTTATTCAATGTCAACCATTTTGTTTCACTTTCTTTTATTGTTTTTGAATATTCCAGTGCAGATTATATATTTATGTACATATGCTGCGTTTTTGTCATATGCACTTATTTTCCTATATTTAACTGTGCCAGGATGAATGAAGATTCGTGTTGAATATTACTCTTGTTTCTCAATTTATGATTTTATTTTTCATCCCTACATTTTATTTCCTCGAGCTGAATCAAAGAGTTACTGTCTGAATATTTATCTAAACTACATTTTATTTTCTCTGTAATGCAAGATTGTCTTTCTTTTCTGTGAATATCGCTTTATTGATCAAGAGTGCCATTCTTCTTTCACCAATGATGTGTATTTATGTACAGTAACGATGTTGATAGCAACAAACAGTACTGATATAAGATTATCATTATTTTTACTACGAATACTTATAAAAAGTTGTTGCAAATATTAGTAATTTATTTTTCAAAAAATTATGGTCATTGATCTGTCTGGCGTGGACGCTCTTAGAAATACACACGAGATCAGTGAAGTGTTTTTAGGAGAAGAGAAATTTTTTGTATTGCTCAACGAACAAGAAAAGTTCGTGTTCTCGAACGGTTCAGTGACATTGGCAGTATACATTCATGAAACAAACAATACCAAGAACATAGATACTATTAATTTTGAGATTATCGTTGTACTTAACTTTAATCATACGGGAAATGGAGTTTATAAATACTACTTTCCAAATGAAACTGCATCATTGAAAACATTAGCGTCGTACAATATAAAAAATGAAATTGTGATATGTGGCCTATGTCACCAATTTATCAATCATTTATACTACATGAACATCAAAGGATTTTGAGAACAAATCGTTCAAATTATTCCATTGTTTTGACGAATATAATTAATTAATGAGAGACTAAGCCAGACTATATACTACTGGGAAACGTTAGTAGTTTCAAGGGGTTAAAAACACTTGTTTCAAATTCTTTTATCTTCAATTCGGTATTTACTTGCTGAACGACGTTCACAAAAAATAATTAATGACACAGTCATATGAAGGTATTACACTACTATCCACTTCTTCTGTACTAGTTTAAAACTACAATTTCTGAGCAACGAATGGATGTAAATCATAATTTTTTATCAAAAGATATTTGGTACCAATCTGAAAATGATAAACAATCAGAAATCGAGGTGAAATCAAAATTGAGGCGACTATTACAGCTGAAATAATGCACGCCAAAACAATTGCTACTTTATACACTAATTTTCACATCAATCGAATATCAAACATTGCATTAAGAAATTCTTTAAATGTGTTTGTTGTTGCTTTATTTATTCGAGATTTTGTTGATGATTTATTGTTTTTATAAATACTGTTCATCTTACTCTCTATCACTCATACAGTGAGAGCAATTTTTCAAACTCAATAAGTCTTTATTCACTTAATATTGATCTATTTAAGTGTTTAAGAGTCGCATAGCTATTTGCAACAGTGTAGAAGTATAACTAACAGTGTATAGTTTAATTTTTTATGATTAGAACTTTCATCTTTTGTTATTAATTATCGTGGCGCCTGTTTGAAAATAGTTTCACTGTTTGTATCTTCTTATAAACTGAATAAGAACAATTTTCTTTTGTTTTAGATAAAGAGAATAGACGATTTGTTTTCTTCTTTTATTTTACACCTGTTTTATACCGTTTATAGTTATGTTTATTTCATCTAAAATATGAATTCTCGAACGATTAAACGTATCAATGCCGCTAAATTAAAAGGTCGTAGTGAATTAAAATTAGAAGATTGGACAAAAAATGGTTACTATAATGATATTGAAATAACAGCAGTCAATGATCAACTAGAACGTATTGATGCTAGAAATGTAACGCACGAAGAATTTGTAGAAAAATATGAACGAACAGGAGTGAGTTGTTATTGTTTTTTGTGATGAACTGTTATTTATTACAGCAGAAATTCATTCGTGATAAAAAACCTTGTTAACTTAGAAATAAATCTGTTTTTGAAGGGATAAAATAGTCACATTTTCATCCAAGGAAAAAAGAGAAGAAAACTAAATGATTTAATATTAAATATTATTTGAGTTCGTGGTATTTGAGAGTAACTTGTGACTGTTTTTCTATGTATACTCTCGATTACCGTTGAGTTACTTTTTTTCAAGACTCCCGTAATGATTCAACATTCAACTGATGATTGGCCAGCATTTGATAAATGGACAACAGTTCGTCTGGGAAAAAAATATCGCAATCAAAAATTTAAAATTGGTGAAGATGATAAAGGTCACTCTGTTAAAATAAAAATGAAATATTTTTTGGATTATGCTGAAAACAATCGAGATGATTCACCGTTATATTTATTTGATTCATCTTTTGGCGAGCATCCTAAACGACGTCGATTAATGGAAGATTACGATGTTCCCGAATATTTTATCGAAGATTTATTTCATTTAGTTGGGTAAGGGTTAGATAGATAAAATCGCGTAAGTATATTGTACACATATTATTCATTTTAGCATTGTTTTTGAACTATACTTGTAGAGAAACACGACGGCCACCTTATCGTTGGTGGTGTATAGGACCAGCACGATCCGGTACTGGTATTCACATTGATCCGTTAGGAACATCGGCATGGAACGCTTTAGTACAAGGACACAAACGTTGGTGTTTGTTCCCACCAGAAACGCCAAGAGAATTGTTGAAACCAACACATGTGGAAGGCGGAAAACAAAAGGACGAAGGTATCACATGGTTTAAAGTTGTTTACCCAAAAACACAAACAAGCCTGTGGCCAAAAGAATATCCATGTATTGAAACAATTCAACATCCCGGCGAAGTTATTTTTGTACCTGGTAAGTAATCATCTACTTCTTTTCTTATTCGATCTTACCATTGGTTTACTTCTCTTTCTCAGGTGGATGGTGGCATGTTGTATTGAATATGGACTTAACAATAGCTTGTACTCAAAACTTTTGTTCATCAGTTAATTTTCCAATTGTATGGAGTAAAACGGTTAAAGGACGTCCTAAAATGTCTCAGAAATTTATGGCAGCATTAAAACGGAAACGTCCTGATTTAGCAAAAATAGCAGAAAAAATCGATTCAAATACTGATTATGGAATTCAATCTGATACATCTAGTTCATCATCGAGCTCATCAAGCACAGACTCATCTCCTTCATCAGACGATAGTTCTGATGAAACTGGACCAATTGTAAAAAAAAGACGTTTGTCTCAACAACAATGATAACTATAAACTTGATAAAGAGCATAAATGTGATTTACCTTAGTTGTAAACAGGCCATTAAGAATAAAAAATTGATTAGGATACGCTTCCAGTAGTGAAAGACCTTCAGAAATGTTCAATTTCATTTCAAGTTCATTTCAAATTGTTAAACTGAAACTTATTTTTTGAGAATTATGCCTATCTCTCGTAGAGAAAAACAGCAGCAAGAGATGTTTTCTTGGTGAAAGTTTCTGTAGATCTTTTTCAGTCATAATACGACCAATCCAGGTGCATTTTTCTGTTTTCTTTTGCATATTTACACGACGTGTTTGTATTATTGTTATTTGTTCATTTTTTGTTATTATCTGTCATCTATTTTTCATGTTTTGATACGTGTGCAAGACAAGGCGTGTTGAAATGTATTACAAGCGAATTAAAACTGAAAAACTAAACAAACAAAGTTTGATCGAAAATAGTATATGTTTCAGAAAAAAATGAAGCATATAGAACGACATTCATTCATCCGAACAGCTACTGAGTAGCTGTTCGGATGATTTCATTTGTATCGAAAGTAGAATAACTTAACTTAAGCTATTCTACTTTCGATACAAATGAAAAGTCAGATTTATAGAATTTCTTGATGAGAGAACTAGACTGACACTACTCTATCAACAAATATCATGGTCCACATGATTCGTTCAAAATGAAAGGCTTGCTTCAACCAGATTGTGAGTCAACTGACACCGTTAACAGACTATATAAATTTTAAGATTAGTTAACTGAAAAACTTAGGCAATGTCATGAACGGCAATACCTAGAAACACATTACTCGTAATTTTGCGTAACAGCTCATGAATTATATATGTATTTTGTACCTTTTTGTTTAGAGAATGAATGTTTTACACACACACACGTCTCTCTTGGAAAAATTTCCTTAATGACATATTATATTGCCTTTTAGATTATTTAGAATTATCGTAGAAATGAGTGCACTGGTCAAAGATGCGAAGATTAAAATTGATGATCCTCGTTATGATCAAAATACTTATATGGGACGAGCAAAACATTTTTTTTTAACAACAAATCCATTAAACCTTCTGGCTAGTGATACACAATTGAATGAGGGTACGACGATGTTTTTTACTAAAAGTCGAACTGGACAAAGTGGAAGAATGGATTTTAGCTAAACAAATTGTTGAAGATTATCGTCGTGGTGTTGGTACTAAACGTGATTTATCCGTGGATGAATTATGGCGAGCAAAATATTTATATGACAGTGCATTTCACCCTGATACAAAAGAAAAAATGTTTTTACCTGGTCGTATGTCAGCGCAAGGTATGAACTATTTCTAGTTTATCCTAAATTGAATTTTTTTATAGTGTATTTATTTTTCTAGTGCCATGCAATATGACTATTACGGGTTTTATGTTAACATTTTATAAATCTACGCCAGCTATTATATTTTGGCAATGGATTAATCAGTCGTTTAATGCCATCGTTAATTATACAAATCGTAGTGGTAAGTAACATTGTATGTTTCTATTATTCTAATATATTCTTTTTGTATATTCATTTGATACAAGGTGATAAACCAATCACTAATCAAGATCTTGGTAAATCTTATGCGATCGCAACAACGGCTGCAACAGCAACAGCTCTCGCTCTCAAAGGTAAAATTGTTTTTGGATTGAATACATTTATTGTATTGACTTCTGTGTTTTTGTAGCTGCTGTCACAAAACTACCGCCTATTGCTGCTCGTTTTGTTCCATTTGCGGCTGTGGCTGGTGCTAATTGTGTTAATTTACCATTTATGCGTTATAATGAAATTCGAGATGGTATAGCTGTATTTGATGAAAATGGTAAACGTGTTGGTGAATCAAGTAATGCTGCCAAAAAAGCTATTAGTCAAGTTGTATTGAGTCGTATTGGAATGGCGGTACCAGGTATGATAATACCACCAATTATAATGAATTTTCTTGAGAAAAAAGAATTTATGCGCCGTCGTATATGGTTAAATAGTCCAATACAAATTGTTTTATGTGGTGTATTTTTGGTATTTGCAACGCCCATGTGTTGTGCTCTCTTTCCCCAAAAGAGTTCAATGACCGTAGCAAAATTAGATCCGAAATTACGAGAAAAATTATTACATGATGGTATGAATGATAATCAACGTGTTTATTTCAATAAAGGACTTTAAATATCATTCCATATAACAGAAAGTTTTTATTAGAAAACTGTTTAGCGGAATGATTGTCTCTCAACAATATACTCAGATATATTTCCGTCCATTTAATGTTATCATTCCTATTTTCACAACAAAAGATTGTAACATGTTTCCTTTTTTTTACTTTTCCTGAGTGTGTTTTTATGTTTTAATTTTATAACACATGTCTACTAGATGCGTGAGACTAAAGTCGTTTTATTCTAGTCCTGTAAAATAAAATCATATCACACCGGTGACGCCACCTATATGGCAACCTTCTTTTGGCTGTTTTACTCCAAAAATGTCACAGTGTAAGGAAAGAAAAAGAGAAAAACACATAAATCAGAGGTGAGAAAGTTATTAGAAAATCGACAACGTTTCTGTCTAGCTCACAAAACAGTTATCAATCAAATCATCGGTCTGGGGCTACACAAGAAAAATATTTTTGTTATTGTTTTTCTCTATATAACGTAGGTTCTTAGCACTTGTTATTAGAGGTGTACAGGGTATGAGTTTTTTGTACTCTGTATCCTACCCTATTGACTTCAGACAGTTTGCACCCTACACCCTACTCTATACATAAGAAAGTAGGAGTAAAATAAGATCATTCATTCAGGGATCGAAGTTCGTTTTTCTACCTACAGTTTTATTCAAAAACAATAAACACACATTTTATTGCTGTCAAAAATTTCGCAATAACAATATGTCGTCAAGTACGTCGGGATTCAAGGGTTGTCGTCTTTCTTCTAATATTCGGCTAGTAGCGCTGAATATTCTTTCTGATGTGGCCGAAGTTGAAGAAACGCCCAGCAATGATCGAGTCAACAAACTGAGATTTGATAGATGACAGCATGATTCATGAAGTCATGCACCACTAAAGGAGCGAATGTCTCAAACGTCTCAGTCTGTATCCTATCCTATAAAAATGTTTCATACCCTTAACTTACCCTACCGTAATAGGACAGGGTAGGGTGATCCTGCACATCTCTACTTGTTATCTCTTTCTTGTCTACATATGGACTACGATGAGTGTAACATAAATACAAATGGTTTCTAATCTAAACACAATGTTAGTCTGTTAGATAAACCTTGTTGTTGTTGTTTTAGATAATGTCAAATATATTAGCATTCCAATACGTTGTCATTGGCGGTGGTATTTCAGGAGTGACATGTGTCGAAACTGTAAATACTTTCTTGTGGTTTCTGGACTAATATTGTTGAAAAATGTTCAATTTTAGCTTGCAACATTTGCTCCAGAAGCTACAATTCTTTTATTAACGGGATCACCACTTATCAAAGCAATCACACATTATGTAAAAGTAAGACGGTAATATATCTTTGAACAACTCATCTCATCAATATTTAATTATATTTTAGCTTAGTAAATTTTTAGAAGAATTTGATATTAGTGAAAAACCATTTTCCTATCTAGCTGAACAACATTCAAATTTAACACTTTTAAATAAAATTGTCGATCATTTGGATACGGATAAACATGTACGAGTTAAATAATTATTTTGTACCTCATAGTCACTGTATGAACCATCTGTATTGTAGACACTAATTTGTACAGATGATACGATAATCAAATATGATAAACTTTGTATATGTGCTGGTGCTCATCCTAAAGTAAGCATAATTTTCATCTTGATTGAGAATAGTATTAGTGTTTTTGTTAGTCTTCTAGCTTATTTGTGATTCGAATCCATTTGTACTTGGTATACGTGATACAGAAACAGTTGATTCGTTTCAAAAAAAATTATTATCAGCTAAACAAATTGTTATTGTAGGAAATGGTGGTATAGCCACTGAATTAGTGTAAGTAATAGAACAGTATACAAATAATTTGTAGTTTTTTATTTTGTTATCTTTTTCTTTTTTAAGATATGAAGTTGAAAATTGTTCTGTTATATGGGCTGTTCGAGATGAACATATTTCTACAACATTTTTTGATGAAGCAGCCGCCTGTTTTTTCCTTGATAAAATTCAACAAAAGAAAAATAATCAAGAAGAAAAATTAAATGAAAAACGAACAAAATATGAAACGGTTGAAATAACAAATAAACGTATGTTAATTTTTCAAATGAAAATTAAATATTTTAAATTTTGTTATTTCACTAAACAGCTATCAAAATGACGAGTAGTATTTCTGGCGGAGCGTTAGGACCCGATTGGGCAGTAAATCGAACAATGAAAGGTTTAGGTCAAGTAGGCTTATCAAAGAAATCATACATTACATCCGATTAATACTGTTGTTTTTAGAAAACACGTCAAATTCATATTGAATATAAAGTTGAAGTTAAATCAGTTTTGACGCCCGATGAATTAGAACGACGACAATTAATATCAGAAAATATGTTTTCTGAACACAGTCAACATCAAAGTAAAAATGATATTTATAGACAAGAATTGAATATATTTATTTATTTTTCCTTAGACAATTGGCCTGTTTATGTTGAATTAACAAATGGAAAAATATTTGGATGTGATTTAATTGTGAGTGCTACTGGTGTTGTACCAAACACAGATATGTTTGTAAAATCTGCGCCGGTACGTGTCAAATAGTTGTGTATTGTACATGACATAATCATTTTGTTTCTGTTTTAGTTTGTGATAGGACAAGATGGTGGTCTTGAAGTTGATGAATTTATGCGTACATCTGTTAAGGACGTTTATGCTGCAGGAGATGTGTGTACGGCTGGTTGGAAACATGCTGAACATTGGTTTCAGGTATTGAGTATACTTCTAGTTTTGTTTTCGAAGTAATGTTCTACCAGTGAAGAATTTTAGATGCGTTTATGGTCTCAAGCACGTCAGATGGGTCATTATGCTGCGAAATGTATGCTTGCACATATGTCAAATGATGATAATATATCAATGGATTTTTGTTTTGAATTATTTGCACATGTAACAAAATTTTTTAATATGAAAGTTGTTCTACTTGGAAAATATCATGAAAATGATATGAAAAAATATGACAATTTGATACGTGTTACACCAGGTAAAATAACTTAAGAATAATTGATAATTGACATTTTGAAAAATATGTTTTACTTCTCTAGGTGAAGAATATATTCGCGTGACATTGAAAGATGGCCGAGTGCATGGTTGTGTGTTTATTGGAGATACAGAAATGGAAGAAACATTTGAAAATCTCATTCTAAATCAGATGGATGTTAGTGCGTACGGTGAAAGTCTTTTAGATCCAGATATTGATATTGCTGATTACTTTGACTAAAATAAATTTCTAAATAAACAATTTTTGTTCTCTCTGATCTTCCATTCTCATCAATGTTGTTTAAAGAAAAAGAATAAATTGCAGTAAGACGAATGTCAACTTGTTGGAAAATACTAAGTGTTAAACCAAAAATTGTAATTTTTATGGCATAAAAACAGTGGTTTTATGCAAAATTTCACTGTAAAACGAATGCACATGAGAACAACACGTCTATTGTTCCCATAAGATAGGAAATAATGAATGATTCATTTTTGCACGAACAGCGAGTTCATTCGAAAGCTCTTCGAATTCGGGTGATGTTTTCCAAGTGCGTGGCGCATGAGTAATATCATCGCCTAAAAATCGCACAGAAAATGCTCTTCGTCGTTGATCAGCTCCTCGTGCGCCGTGTAAGGTAAGCATATGGAAACAAACGATATCTCTTGGTTCCAATTCCCATCCAATTATTGGATACTTTTCTCGTTCATTCTCAATATCTGGTAAATCTTCGAGAGTACCTTCTGGAAACCATTTTGCTTTATTATCCATAAATGTTCGTGGCATCAACCATTTTCCGTGATGTGATCCGGCGATAAATTCTACTGTCGAATATCTTGACACTGGATCAACTGGTATCCATATACTACAATTTTGAAAGCCGTCAATATTATAATATGGTTGATCTTGATGCCATGGTGTAATTTGTTTTGTATTTGCTTCTTTCACTAACATATGATCATGATAAAGTCGAGTTGTTTTACTGCGCATTAATAAGCCAGCAACGATACTAATAGACGACTCAAAAATAAATTTTTTGTAATATTCATTATTTTGCCAGTTACAAAAATCTTCTGTGAACAAGCCTGTATCATCTGGTTTACTCGCTATTTTCACTCTTGAACTTGGATGCTTCAAATTTCTATCAATACCGCTTTTGAGAAGATCGATCTCATCTTGAGTGAGTATTTGACGAATACATACAGCACCGTCTCGTTGATATTCGTCGACAACATTTTGTGTTACAATAGACTTGACGTGTTCAACTATTTCAGAGTTGAAACGATGAGACATATCACGCAGAAAATCAAATAAATAAACAAAAACTAAAGATTAATGTCAAGAACACTAGTTTTTTTGATATATAACAGTTCGTGCGTCAGTCTATGTAAACTAGATAAGATAAGAATCTAGTATATATGTCAGTCGTTGAGATGAATATACATGTTGCAAGTCACAATATTTTGATCTATAATCGGTCATTTTAAAGTACAACGATGAATGAAGGATGTAAAATTATCTGAAAAATACGAGCATTTTTAGAAAAATACTTTTGAGGAAAACGTTTTTATCGCTAAATGTAGAGAAAAAATTCTAAACAGGTAATTAATAGAGTGCGTCGCTATCGAGTCGCGAGAGAATAGAGCATTAAAACGTTTCACAACACTTTTGTCATCGGGTAACGCTCTGTTTTTAGTGACAAAAATTCTCTCGGCTTGTGATAAAAGTTTTATTTAACCATGTTTGAATAGTGGTTACGATAGTTCGTTTTCGATTGTGACGAAAGTGTCTGGTTTTTTAGACACGTCGGCACTTTCATCATACGCTGCATGAAACGACTACGTTGAAATCAAGGTTGTAATGCAAAGTTCATTAGTCCAAAGCACAGTAGTGCAAACTGGAGTAATAACTTCTTGCCTTTTTCTTTCCAAGCATTGCATTTTCTTAGTGAAACGCATAAAAAAACCTTCTGAAGTCTTTTTCTATAGTCAGAATATCAAAATCAAGCGTCTATTGCGTTTGGGAGTAGCTCGGTCTGGAGTAGTCCACACTATAGCAGTCCAAATTGCAGGAGTCCACATGTAAGCAGTTCTGTGTAATTAGTGTGACGAAAGTTCGCAATGGGGTATGACGATGGTTGTAGGTATGTCACACAGTCGGTTACGAAAGTTCACCATTCTCGTGACCAAAGTGTGGGATGGTACTCCCCCAAAAATGCCATACACTTTCGTCACGTATGACGAAAATTAACGTGACGAAAGTGCTATCAGCCATCAAAATACTAGTCGATAAATTCTATATTCAAACTACCCATATGGCAACGTATACGTCACATTTAAGAGTAAAACTTCGTTTTTAACAGCATTGGAGTACACACCTAGAGGAATAGATAAGATCTAGCACCGGTTTCGTAGCGTTACTATAGTTTTTTAAAAAGTTTATATTTATGCTTTTCCTTCAACGCAATTCTCTGGTCATCTCGACTGATTTTGTTGTGCATTTTTAACGAATATTTTTCTATTGATTCTACAGTCGATTCTAGAATAGCAGAGGGCCTCTTACTATCAATGTGCATAACGTTGCACATACAAGTATCAATTGAACAACGTTCGTACTATTAATCGATGCTAGTGCTGTCGTTCTCGATGGGATGGAATGTACTAATGTGAAAATTGCTCAGACAGATCAAGTCAAGTAACTTTGGTACAGTGGTCTGAGAGCATCGAGATTGTTAGTTCATTATATTGGTCGATTCATTTTTTCAAATTTTGTTGATTTTTCAATTTCCCAGTCGTGGCAGGTAAATAATACTGGTCGATGCTCACTGGTTCCAATATCCTATGCCTCTGCTGTTTCGACCAATGAAATAATTATTCCTATAGTGATAATAGCTGATCTTCTCAATATTGGTGAATTCGGAGCAAGAATTTCATAATTATGTTAATTACTAGAGATGTGCGTGACCATGGTTTTTCGGTCATGCTTATATTATGAGTGATTGCTTCGACCGCTCAAGATATTCTAATAATCGCAAGAAACGAATAGAACACGTTTACGGAAAGCAAATTGAATAAGCTGATATTTTTGAAAAAGAATTTACATTTACCCAAAACAGTATTTCTTTCCATGATAACATAGGCCAGGGAATCAATGAAGAAACAGTATCCAAAAAGCGAGGAATGTCTGAGATGGATGCAGTAGAAAAACCATTATTAAATAGTGAATAGCCACAGATAATATAGTACTGAAACACACTGATGACTTTTCCTAATAAACAGACGACAAACACACTAGTTAGTTCAAAAGAAGGCTGAAAAAGTATTTTAAAAAGAGGTAGATTTGCATTAAAAATTGATTTTAATAAATTCATTGATCGATTATACATATTAATGTGTGTTAACCCGTTGTCTCTACATCTTTAATAAGAACCTATGCCGACTATTCAGTAGTGTAGTGGCACAAAATAATATTCAACTCGGCTCGTATCAAAACTCTGAAAAATCATTAGAAAATCTATAAAATTGTCACCAATCAACTGTTCTACTAATCCAGTAGTGATTCTATGGAATCTGTAACAAGAGCGGAGAAAGTACAGAATGCATTTTGAACTTCGCTAATAATGGTCACAATGCTGTAAAAGCAACCTTACAATATCATTTTTATATAAACTCGAGTTGTAATGCAATACTTTTCAGTCTAACAGAGTATGTTGATTTGTCTCTGCATGTATGTGGACACCTCAATTCACTTACGGGAGACGCCAGCGTTGTTCTACGGTTTTTTTAACTTCCTGTCGATGTATACATGGTACATCATTATTATCGCTAAAAAAGCGATCTAATATCTCATGATGTTGATATTTATTTATCTCTGTGCAATGTCTACACACCAAATACCAATAATAAGCTAAAAAACGAACAAAAACTGTCTAAGTTAGCTTGAAATTTTCACTGATTCGATAAATGAATTGTCAGAAAGCAGAGACTAGATATGAACTCCGAGTCATCGGTAAGCGTTTTAACAAAAACATTTATGCTTCTAAAATGTGACTTTTTTAGATAAACACAGCTCTTACTCTTGTGAAGATTTTATTGAAGAACAACAAAATACACTCTAAATAAAAAGCGTATACTAGAAAATCCTTTCGAAAACTGTTTTCCGTATTCGGAATGATCTCGAAAACTCGTTTCCGTATTTGAGAATATACGTAGGGCATCTAACTTTCGCATACCCAAACGGTATCCTCGAATACCAAACAAAGGTATTATTTAAAACTCTTTTTTTTCCAAACTTTTTCAAAAAACTAAAACATATCAGGATATTCGATTGTCGGTTTTAGAAAATACCTTTCTGGGTATTTGAATTATTTCCTATAAAATCCTTCGGTTTACGAAAGGTAGAAAACTTCCCAGGGTTTTAGAAAAGACCTTTCGATTGTGCAAAACTTATTTCGGATACCCTGCTCCGTTTCGGAAAATAATGTTGTCTTGTCTTTTGATTCGAAATGCAGAATAATAGGAATTCCTTTTTCATAAAAAAGCAATTAATTTTTGCATCCTATACATACAAGCTTCAAAAAGCGCATTTGTGACTTCCACTATCAGAAACTGATAGAATGCTTAACCGATATAACTTATTCCGCTCGTAAACTCTTTCTTGGAAATCTGCTCAAGATCGATTTACGAAAAAAAAACAAAAACTAAAATGTTCAGGATTGTACTCTACAGATTCTTAAATTAGATGTTTCCTTCATACCGCTTTAGACTTATTTTCAATAATGCGTGCAAATAAAAGTACTTTTTTCGGTTGTATCGGTTTCAGTTAATCGATAAAAAAATAGTCATTTAAAGTAGTCTATATGAAAAGTGATTTAAAAAACTGCTTTACAACTCGAGTTTATATAAAAATGATATTGTAAGGTTGCTTTTACAGCATTGTGACCGTTATTAGCGAAGTTCAAAATGCATTCTGTACTTTCTCCGCTCTTGTTACAGATTCCATAGAATCACTACTGGATTACTAGAACAATTGACTGGTGACAATTCTATAGATTTTCTAATGATTTTGCCGAATTGATAATTCTATAAAATTAATTGTTCTTCATAACGAAAAAAAAATATGTATAGAGAGAGATAGGAAACAGAGAATATAACTTTTTGAAAATAATTGTTGCCTTCACTAACAGTATTTACTTTTTATATAAGCAGATTTTACTAATTTTTTTGTATGTTTGATCTACGTCTTCAAGCATTTGGTTTAAGAAACATTGATTTTATCCATAGAATTTGGATAGATTCATATGAAAAAGAAAATCAACGTTGTTTAAGATAAACTTTAATAATCCATTTTAGCATTGATAAACAAAACTAAACAATTTTGATGTATACTTCAAAAACATCCTGTTAATTGTTTCATAATGTATATTATCAAACGATTATGCAATACTTAATATTTTTGAAATTTTAATTTTAATACATTGACAAATAAAGATGAATAATAATAATATGAGAGTGTGAAAATCATATTTTTATTCTCACATTAACAAGCGTTAATGTTTTAATGAACCACTTTTGCTGAGCTGTCACATCTGTAGCTAATGTTTTTGATCATTAAATAGAATAAAAAGATAACCGTTATGTTTGTATCAATGAGAATAATGATGACAAAGCAGTTACATTTAAATGATTAAATACATATGCGAAAAAGCTATTTCAAAAGAGAAAATATATTCTCAAAACTGACTGATTAACACTATATCTTTTTCATCTATTTAAAATTGAGAAATGAATGGAATATATAGTTAAACGAGAACTATTACTTGTACAATCATTTTTTTCTTATTAAATTTTAGATAACATAGTTTGATGATGATTTATTCTATTTTAGTCGTAATAATTAGTGTTCTGATAAATTTTACTCATCAAACCAAAATAAACTATCATTCTATTGTTGTACAAAGTGGCTCAACACCAACAATTGTTGGAGATAAAAATGTTTTACGTCAAAAATATTTAGTTGCCAGAACATTTAATAAAATTTATATTGATGGTGCATTCAACGTTTATTTAACACAAGTAAATAATGATATGAATTCGTCATTGGAAGGAATTGAAATTGAAACGGATAAAAATATTCATGATTTTATTATTTGTGAAGTGACAAATGATCATATTTTGAATATAAAAATGAAACCTAATGTAAATTATAAATTTACCGATATGATTGTTTATATCAATTATAAAGTATTAGTCGAACTTTATCTAAATGGCATTGGTAATACGGAAACAACAAATCAATTAATACAAAGTGAAAAATTGATATTACATAATGAAGGTATTGCTTTCTAATCATATGACAACAGTCTTTATCTATTTGTCTTGTATGATTTTTTTAGGCACGACTAGTTTTAAGCTCAATGTCAGTGTACCAATGATTGATGCTTTTATTTATTCAACTGGTCAAGGAATATTAGGTGGTAGTTGTGGTGTGACAAATATCAAAGATACAGGTGTTGGCGATGTTGATGCATCGAATCTTATTACTCAATATGTAAACGTTGATGCAAGTGGTGTGGGTAAGATAAAAGTTTATGCTATACGTGAATGTAATATTCGTGCCGAGGGTGTGAGTACAGTCTATTATAAATGTCCAATTAAAAAACAAGAAACACATGGATTAGCAAAAATTATTGAATGGTAGATAAAATATTTCGTTTTCACCTTGTTCAATCTGAAATAATTTTGTTTTTTATTTATTTTTTGTAATTTCTACTGTAAAATATTTCAAATTTTATTTATACAAGCTAGTAAGCCGAATAGAAAAATAGAAAAATATTTGGGATTCTTTCAATTAACTGTTTTACAGTAAAACAATTTGCTTTTTACTCTTTGTTTAAAATTCTGATATTTTTTTCATCACTACAAGGTGATCGGGTTATGCCATCGGTATGAGAAAAACAACTCGCTAGTGTGTTTTGTCGTAAAAGTTGACTATCTAGGTATTCAGTAGTTAGAGATCCTTTAGTTAGAATCACCAAACGTATCAAGATTCTTTTACCGTTGAGTTTATACGTGTTGAATTTTGAATGAATTTAAATGTTTTTTCCACCTTAAGAGTACTCCTGCTCTTTTTTGAAAAAATTGTCGAATTTTGAGCTGAGCATAGCCTAATGTAGAGGAAAGTGTGGGCTACAAAATGAGACTACTTCCAGTACTCCACGACCTTTCTTCAAAAAGTTATGCAGTTCTGAAGTTTTTCCTTCAAAGTCTAAAAAAACTCAATTTTTTAGCTTCATAAACTTTTCTCTCCTTTCTTGTACACTCGAAATTTTTCTTACGCATAGTCTGATAGAAGAAAGTGTTTTCGTCATAATGAGACGTTTTCCAGAATTTTCCGATGAGTTTTGGTGGAGATATAAGCATCGAGGCAAATGCCCTGAAAAAAGTGGTCTACGTAGAAAATGCGTTTTTTCTCGAAAACTATTTTTTTTGCTACCGGGCGTCATTGGATACATAATGACCCCCCTTAAATTTCATCCGGTCGAGTTAAGAATTTTACAAGAGATACTAAAGGTCATAGCGCAGAGATATAATTTTGGAATTTTCTTTTAGACATTTCTTCACCGAGTTATAGGATTTCTTAAATTGGAAAACTTCGTTTATGGAAATTTTTCAGTATTTTTCCTATAACTCGATAAAGAAATGTCTAAAAGAAAATTCCAAAATTATACCTCTGCGCTATGACCTTTAGTATCTCTTGTAAAATTTTTAACTCGACCGGATGAACTTTAAGGGAGTTGTAATGTGGTCCAATGAATAACCGAGTTTTCTGGAAAACTGATGAAGGGCAATAGTTAAAAACTTGAGACAAAAACGAAAAAGTGCTCCATTTAGTTTCCAATTAGTTCTGAAAATATGAAGCCTTAGTGAGGTTTAGTTTTTATTTCACAGCATTTCTACCGAAAGCCCAAAATGAGGGAAGGGAAGAGGTACCCTTAACCCTTTACGGCCGGGTGTTGACTACCGGTAACATCGATCTATTAAGTCTCGAAGGAATTTCGTTCTAAAAGAATACACTTTGCCGATCCCTCTCACAGCAAAACAATAAATATAAAGGGAGGAATATTTTTATTAGTTAATTTTT